AAAAAAAAAAAAAAAAAAAAAAAGGGAAGGAAGGAAGGAAGGAAGGAAGGAAGGAAGGAAGGAAGGAAGGAAAATTCCAAACATCCTGTTTGAGCACAATCAACACTGATCTACTACTGGCCCCTAGATATAAGTTGAGCAGCACAGTTAAAGACTGCACTGGAAGCTCCAATGCATGCACAGGGCGAGCTGCCCTCTACTGTGACTGGCAGCAGTCACTACTCCACTTCCTCCCTCCTTCTCCGACAGCCATCACTAAGGTCAGAGCCTCCCTCCCTCACTTCAGTAGAATGGCAAGTGACCCCAATCCTGTGCAATGGGGCCTGAGTGGTGGGCTCTCGGAGAACTTGCAGGAAATGTTACCTTGCTAACAAAAAAAAAGTCACACAAAAGGCAACATTCCTTTCCTCATGAAACACTGAGTCTGCATTGGAAGCAGAAAAAGAGGCTGGGAATGTCAGAAGAGAAAAATGCCAAGAGAAAAAGAGGCCTCAGAGACATCACTGAACCACTAGAGTAACCAATTCTGGGCTTTTCTTCCTCTGGACTTCTTTTTTTTTTCTTTAAGATTTACTTGTTATATATACAGTGTTCAGCCTCCATGTATGCCCGCGGGCCAGAACAGGGCACCAGATCTCATTATAGATGGTTCGTGAGCCACCTTGTAGTTGCTGGGAATTGAACTCAGGACTTCTGGAAGAGCACCCAGTGATCTTAATCTCTGAGCCATCTCTCCAGCCCCAAATTTATCTTGTTTTGTTTTGTTTTTGTTTTTTCGAGGCAGGGTTTCTTTGTGTAGCTTTGGAGCCTGTCCTGGAACTCACTTTGTAGACCAGGCTAGCCTCAAACTCAGAGATCTGCCTACCTCTGCATCCCAAGTACTGGGATTAAAGGCGTGCACCACCACCTGGTTCCCTCTGGACATCTTGATCAGGGATACTGTGCTAGATAGTTTTATATTAACTTGACACAAGCTAGAGTTCTCTGAAAGAAGGAATCTCAGTTGAGACAATGCCTCCATAAGGTCCAGCTGTAGGACATTTTCTTAATTAGTGATTGATGGGGGAGAGCCCAGCCTATTGTGGGTGGTGCCATCCCTGGGCTGCTGGTCCTGGGTTCTAGAAAGCAGGCTGAGCAAATCATGATGAACAAGTCAGTAAGCAGCACCCTCCATGGCCTCTGCATCAGCTCCTGCCTCCAGGTTTCTGGCCTGCTTGAGTTCCCGTCCTGACTTCTTCAGTGACAGACTATGACGCAGAAGTGTAAACCCTCTCTCCTCCACGCTGCTTTGTTTGTGGTGTTTCCTCTCAGCAGCAGGAGCCCCGACTGACAAGACAGAGACTATGACATCTAACTATGCCTGCCATTTTCACTGGGGCTCTCTTACTGGCAATCTGGAGCAGACAGCCTATGTATAGCTGCAGAAATAATTGTTCCCTTTTTATAAACATCGAGTTTCCTTACATGGCAACGTGAAAACTAGAGTCCGCTAGTCAAATTCACTATTTTAACAAATCTTGTCCTCTCACAACAAGTTTTACAAATATAAAGCAATTATCCCTCAGGCCACATTAAAGCTAGTTTCAGGAATATCAAGAAGAGAAGACTTTCCAGAACAAAGCACAGTAGAACAACAAAAAAGAGACTCTTCCAATTTTATCTGCTTCACAGGTACTCGGCTGTATCTCCTGCTTCAGGGTCGAGGTGCTGGTCTGTCTTACCTACAGACGACAACGCTGTGACCCACTGGGAAAAGCAGCCTAACTTCAGAGCACAGTTACGCTAGCGGCTGTCTAAAGAGGAAGGCTCAACTCACAGTCAGCACAAGATCTACAACATTCTGATATTTGTCTCACAACAGAAGCGCTACTTGTTGGGCTGGTGCGAGGGCTCAGTTAGTAAAGGTGCTTGCTGCCCATGCTGATGGCCCACGTTTGGTTCCTAGGATCCGTCCTGAAAGCTGTCTTCTGATCCCCAAATGTGTGCCCTGGCACATCTGCCCCTCCCCTCAAAATAAAAACAAGCCCCATTTATTGCACATTCTACACCCTTGAGGGCAAACAGCTCCCATCCCATCACAAAACAACCAGAGGGTAAGTCTGCTGCCAAACTAGTCAAGTGCTGGTCCCTGTAGCCCAGGACCAGCAGCTCCAGCAACAGCTGGGAACCTATTGAAGACAGAGGATCAGGTCCCACCCCAGACCCACTGGGGCACAAACTGGAGCCTGCCATTTCCTGCTAAGCAACAAGCCAGGCAAGAGTGACAAGCAGGGCCAGACGGGAGGTGGCGCACGCCTTTAATCCCAGCACTTGGGAGGCAGAGGCAGGCAGATCTCTATGAGTTCGAGGCCAGCCTGGTCTACAGAGCTAGTTCCAGGACAGATAGGGCTGTTATACAAAGAAACCCTATCTCAAAAAAATTTTTTTAAAAGTCAGAGGACAAAGGAGTCCCCCTGTGTTCTCAACCAGTCACTCAAAACACTAAACTTAATTAACACAGTGGCCTGACAGAAAGGCAAGCCTCAAATAAACTAAAGCATCATTAAATTCATATCTTCTTTCATTGAAATGTCACACGCCAAATTTTGAATTTACATCCTTAAATCTTTTACTTTAGCCAAAGACTTTCAAATGTGAAATAAATGCATAAAAGATAATACTGTTTAAGATGATTAAAAAAAAAAATCAAGCCTCCAAAAGCCTCCAGTTAGTACTCGGATTCTAACTTTACCATTCCTCTCCTGGATTATCCGGATGGCTTGAAGCTGCATCTCAATGTTCTTCTGGACCATCATTGCTTTAAAGATAGTGAAGTCCTCTGCTGCCAACACGGGCTGCAAAATGGCCTGTGGGAGGAAGTCTGCAGGTTAAACTGTTTGCCCCACGTTCCTCTCATCGTTTGCACTGAGAAGCAGCACATTAGTTCAGGGACGCTGCAGCAGTATCATGGCCAGGCGACTCAAGTGCACTCTCACGACGTAGCCCCAGTTGGTCTCCAACTCCTAACTCTCCTGCCTTAGCCTCCCAAGTATTGGGAATGCAGGGTATATAGCTATACCCTGCCAATATTTTTAAAGCCTTTAAAATAGGGTTCTCAGACTAACTCACTCAACTCCCAGGCCTCCAAGGGTCAAGCGGGCTGTCTCCTTTCCCAAAAACAAAATGGAAAGCAATACAGCGGTCTGGTTTATTTTCATAAGTTATCACTTAGATATCTAGGTTTGTTTTTCAGCCCACATAATATCTATTTGGTTTACATCCTATCTCCTGAAATTTATTTAGGCTTTAATAACTATTCCGGATAGTTATCCCTTAAAGAAACTATCAAGTTACACCAGGTGGTGGTGGTGCACACCTTTAGAGCCAGCACTCAGGAGGCAGAGGCAGGAGGATCTCTGAGTTTGAGGCCAGTCACGTCCAGAGAGTGAGCTCCAGGACAGTCAGGGTGACACAGAAAAATTCTATCTTAGAAGAAAAAATTATACCAACTTAAACTAAATGACAAGAAAATGGAGCATTACAGGTAATAAAGGAAGACTCAAGTGGGACTGGAACAGCGGCTCAAGGGCAGTCCTCACAGAGGACCCATGCTCAATTCCCAGCACCCACAAGGGCAGTCCTCACAGAGGACCCACGCTCAATTCCCAGCACCCACAAGGGCAGTCCTCACAGAGGACCCACGCTCAATTCCCAGCACCCACAAGGGCAGTCCTCGCAGAGGACCCATGCTCAATTCCCAGCACGCACAAGGTGGCTTACTAACTGCAGTCTTAGGGGATCTGACACCCTCTTCTGGACTCTGAGGGCACCAGGCATACATGTGGGACACAGACATACATACAGGCAAAACATCCTTATGCATAAAATAAAAACAAATCTTTAATAATAATAAAGTTATCTACCATTAAGAATACACACACAACTATTTCCTTAACTATTAGTAATGTTACATTTAGCCAAGAAAAACAGTTCTAATTAATAAGCAGAATAAGATTTGAAATGCATGGAAACCCAAAGGAAACACTCAGGTCTTACTTTACCAGAATTTACTTTTCAACTCCACCTGAGACCAGTGGAAAAGCTGGCCACACAAAACCATGCAGAGGTAACACAGATGGTGCTGTTCACTAGAAGGCAAAGACAATATTCTCACAAAGAACACCATGACCAGAGCCTTCACCGAAGAACTCCACTAGGAAGAGATAAGCCCTTCCCCCACGAACCAGCTCACCTTCTAGAGGTGCAGCATCTAAAGGAAAGGCAAGAGCACTTCTGGGTGACATCTACAATGAGTGTGCTATAAAGAAAACGATACAGTACTCCCTTAATTCTGTCTGGGTGACCAGGGATCTCAGGGAGGGAATGGCAAACATTAGCTGCGAGCTCTGGACTGGAAGTGATGTGGGCAGCTTGTGTCTGAACCCTTTGGGGGTTAGGCCACCACACAATAGTCATGGGGCTTCCTGGCCTATTAGTGAGACCAAGTACAATCCTCACGGGCAAACCTTTAGAATGATACTGCTATTCTGTTTTACTTTTGGCTTTTTGAGACAGGGTCTCACTCTGCAGCCTACTGGCCTCAAACTCAATTGTAAGCTTCCTGAGACACAGTATTGGGTTTACAGGTGTGGGCCATATCACCAGCTATGGCCACTGCTATTGAGATCAATGTGGCAAATAAATTTTCCAGCAGCAAGCTAGAGATTGAACTTGTAATTGTGATCTTTGACCCCTCTTAATAAATAAAAAAACTGTTAATAAAGCATATTCCTGGGGGCTGGAGAGATGGCTCAGAGGTTAAGAGAACTGGTTGCTCTCCTGAGATACTGAGTTCAATTCCCAAGCAACCACATGTGGTTCACAACCATCTGTAATGAAATCTGGTGCCCTCTTCTGGCCTGCAGGAATACATGCAGGCAGTGTATATACAATAAATAAATAAATCTCAAAAAAATAACAAAATTAATTAAAAATTAACAAATAAAGCATATTCCTGAGCCCTGTTTCAGACATAAGAAGCTATAGTCTTTATAAGAGGAGTGTCCACATAGTCTATACATTAGTTCTTAAAACAAAGGTTTCAGAAACATTGCATATTAGAGAAGAAGAGAATCTCGATAGCAAAAGCCAACCTCCATTATGACTATAGGCACCAGTAGCACTGTGGCCGTGGATATTATTTAATCCCTGGCATCAATAAAAATAGCAGTAATCTCTAAGATTACAGAGATTAGTAAAATAGGCCATTTTATGTGTGACTTAGAAAAAACTACCAATTAAATAATAACTATCAATTACATAAAACATTCTTATTTTAAATATATTATGATATAAAAATTTGTCTCTGGGACTAGAGAAATGGTTCAGCAATTAAGAGTACCCAGATTCAATTCCAAGCACCCATATAACAGCTTACAACCATTTGTAAGTCCAGTTCCAGTGAATCCAGTGCCCTCTTCTGACCTTGCTAACCAAATACGAGTATTTAGTAGAGGCCAACGTGAGCTCTTAAGATCACCATCTGAGTAAGAGGGATAGCCCCGTCCTGAGCCTGGAGCAAGGGCTTCCAGGGAGACTGCCTGCGCTGGAAAGCTTGCTCTCCTACCGACGGAGCTGTAGACTTGGGAGCAGCTGTGTACCATTTCTCTGCTTTCGTCTCCTCATCTATAGGTGGAAGCTAAATGGTACCAAGAAGATAAAGTGAGTAACACCAAGCATATGTCTAAAACATCAATTAGGGAATTGAGCAAGGTGGTTCACCCTTGTAATCTCAGAACCTGGGAGGGCAAAACAGGAAGCCTATAAGTTCAAGACCAATCCAAGCTACATAGTGAGTTTGAGTATGCTGGCCTGGTTACACAGCAAGTCCCTGTCTCAAAATAAATAAAATAAAAACATCTTTTTAAAGTGTATCAATTCACGAGAACTCTCAATAAGCGTTACTATATGTACCTATTAGCCACTCAGCCAGTAGTGCAGAACTAAAAGACAACAAAACCAGTCCCATGAACGTGACAGAGATGGTTCAGCAGTTAAGAGCACTTGCAGCTCCTGCAGAGGACCCAGGCTCACTCCCAGCACCCACAGCTAGCCCTAACTCCACTTCCAGGGAGATCCAAGCCCTCTTCTGACCTTCATAGGTACTAAGCGTGTACACATACATGTAGGTAAAACACTCAAAAACATAAACAAAAACAGTTTCATAAGAAGTCCCAAAAACTAGAAACTGCATTTGCTACAAATAGAAACAATAAAAGGCAACTACAGAGTTATCAGCATCCTATAGAAATGAAACCAAACCCAGATAAATTCTGTCATCTTAACAACTCTGAGAGCAGGGTGCTTATTTCTAATTCCATCGGTGCACATTATTTAAGGTGGTTTAAAAAGAACACATCCGGTTCTTTTTAAATAACTCTAGTTACAAGAACCTGGTGCCCCCCCCCTTGACTGTGTGGGTACAGACACATATACGGTACACATGCATGCAGGTGAAACACCCATACATCCGGTGAATGTTTTCACCACACACAGTGTCTCATATCACAACTCTTACACCCCCACAATCAAACACACTAAATTTAACAAAAGCCCTGGGAGAACAAGAGCAGCGTAAGACAAGAGTTAATACCTGTGATGTGCGTGTCTTTGCCAGAGGGGAGGTGCATGCTTCTTGAAACTGATCTTCATTAATTCCTATTTCTTTCAGGTAACTTTCTAACAGCTTTTCAACCTAAACGGGAAAGGTTTAACTCGTATCATTTACATAGGAAAAATCTAAATGGCATTCTGCCTGCCTAGAATGCTCTTTGTAATTAACATAAACACTATTATATAAGACATGGAAGTAATAATGTCTTTCACCAGTAAACTAACAGCAAAAGTGGGGTTTTCTTGCCAGGAATCACATGGAATTTAACTTCCTCTACTGGAGGTAGGCCGAGTTATGACGGTGAACACGGTGCCACTCCTCTCCCCACTCCTTCTTTAAAATCCTCGGGGCATGGGGAGTAAGGGGACCCGTGGGAGGGGAGAGGAGAGGAGTAGTGGAGTGAGAAAAATGTATAGCTCACTAAAAACAATTTAAAAAGTGTAAAAAAAAATCCTAAGACAACTTTAAGTAAGAAAAGCATAAACCTTGCCTAGAGGCACCGGCTAAATGGGAATTCAATTTACCAAATGAGAGATCCTATTGCTACAATAAATCTTCACTTAGAATCTAAGACAGAAAAATGCAAAATCACTGGAAATTATGAGCCCGAGAACATGGTTAATGCGGCCGGAACAGGATGAATTGTGAGGCTGAAGAGCTGCAGGGGAAGCTGCAGAAGGGGTTTGGCAGCTAGGAGCAGCTGCTGATGTCCAGACCAGTTCCCATTCCCAGCACCCACACGGGGGTTCACAATCAACCACAACTCCAGTTACAAGGAACCCAGTGCCCCCCCTGACCTCTGTGGATACAGACACATATACGGTGCACAGGCATGCAGGTGAAACACCCATACATAGAAACTAAATAAATTGTTTAAAAAAACAATTTTAAATAACTTCAATTTTAAAAAGCACTTTTTTTAATTTAAAAAGATTAAGAATTATAAAATGCCTCTTAAAGATCAGTGAAAAAAGCCAGCCACTGTGGCGCACACCTTTAGTCCCAGCACTGAGGAGGCAGAGACACATAAATCTCTGCGAGATCAAGGCCAGAATGGTTTACATAGTGAGTTCCAGGCCAAGCAAGGCTGCATAGTGAGACACCCCCCCATCTCAAACAAAACAAAACAAAAATCAGTGGGAAAAATACTCACTAGCTCTTTGTACTCTTGATGAATTTCTGTATAGGTCAATTTGCTTTCTTCTTCATCATCAAAAACTAAATTTATAAGAGAATAAAACAGTGTAAAAAAACAAATTATTTCATTAAGTATAAATATAAAAACCTTACAAATGGACTTGCAGGAACCTGTTCCTCCTTTCCACCACGTGGGCTGTGAGGTCAGGCTCACAAGCCATCTCCCCAGCCCCTTATTTCTAACAATATATGCGCCTACACTTGCCACTTACAGGTGTGTCTTCTCTTGGTGGACTATAAACTTCTCAAACAGAGGGTTTCTATCCCCAGTTTCTGTTCCAAGGTAACTCAATATATATCGAAATGCTGATACCACAAAGCTGTCTAAAGTAATCTTTAAATTATCTGAAGTAGAAAACAGCACAGTTTTCCCTTGTGTTCCCGACGTTACTCCTCTTTACTCTGCAAGCGTTCTGGGTGACACTGTACACACATTCAACACAAATGCTACTTAAACTCTTTCAGGTCAGACAGTTCTGAAGCCACATCACTGTGGCACGGTTGTAAACCCAAGCTTTGCTTCTCTGTAAAAATGTGCATTAGCTGTGACTAGGGAGATGCCAGGCTCTTGACACCTGTGGAGAGAGGACACGCCCCGCCCTCTTTCCATTCAGCATTTAGTCTCAGTGGCTAAATGAAATCAATGGATGAAATAGTCTCTTCTCAAGGTCAGGCTTCTCCCAGGCTTCATCCATCTTCTAACAGTATTTTAAATTCTTCAGAGGGATACAGGTAAACATTTGAACCTCCTTAAAAGTTACCTGCAAACACACTTAACTGGTGCTTGAGTTTTAACAGAACAAAATAAAAGGTTCAGTAGTCAAACAGCAATCTTTCTTGACTAGATCCATGGACTCTCAGGGTCAAAAGAAGCCCTGCAAGACAATGCAGGCTAAGAGCCCTCTGTTAGGGCTGGAGAGATGGCTCAGAGGTTAAGAGCATTGCCTGCTCTTCCAAAGGTCCTGAGTTCAATTCCCAGCAACCACTTGGTGGCTCACAACCATCTGTAATGGGGTCTGGTGCCCTCTTCCGGACTGCAGGCATATACACAGACAGAATGTTGTATGCATAATAAATAAATTAATTAATTAAAAAAACCCTCTGTTAGCTGAATCTACATGTACTCAGATACTGCGAATGTCTGGGAACCCATTATCTTTCCGCCTGGCCAACTCAGCCTGGAAAAGCATAGAAAACATTGCCTTGGCTGCGTTTCCCTGCAGCTGGTACTCACCCCAGCTCTACCGCACCGAGCTTTACGAACAAGTCTAACCCACTAACCTACGACACAAGTTCAGTGGACTGATGAATAGTGCTACCCTCCAAGTACTGCCAAGGTAAATAAAGGCTGGGTGTGATGTCGTTTGCTGTCCTTCTCTATGAATAGACTTCATTTTGTCTTTACGATATGAATCCCGGTATGAAGCGACCAGAATGCGGGGATGCTGATCCTCTGACTGTATTGCACATCTGCATGCCTCGGTTGTTAGAAAGGTCTTCTCCCCATCACCTGCTTTGGTCCTGCTGGGGAAATCGCATGACCTTCTTTGCAGATGAAATGGCCAGAGTGAATAGTTTTCATTTCGTAGACTGAGCCCACAGGGAGACATCCAGGAGTCCAAAGGAACTCGAGGGAAAACGACGCTTCTCCCAAGTAACTGGGGAAGATGCTGGTTACCCAAACAGTCTACTTAAGCAACGTGCGGGATGAAGAGGCAGGCCGAACATGGTATTAAAGTCTAATGTGTTCAGGATATGCGCTCAGGCCGGAATGGGTGGCAGGTCTTGGTGCCCTCTTTCAGGTCGGCAAAGGAACCCCCATCCCACCCCGGGAAGGCAGAGACAGCGGGTGATATTCGGCTTGTTCAGGGTCTGGTTTTTACCTTCGCATTTCTGCTCCACAAAGTCCATGATGGGGATGGACCAATCCGGACCCCGCAGGAACCCCGCGATGCTCTCCACCACCCATTCCACCTCGTCCTCTTCTTCCGCAGCCATCCCGCCCACACCGGGCGACGCGGATGCCTAGGCCAGACTCCCCCGGCCCGCTCGAGCCTTTCGGCCGCAGGAAGCGGACGGAGAACTCAGGCAGCACGGCCCCCGCAGTCGCCAGGACCCCTGCTTAGACACTACAAGCCAGTTAACGTAAAATGGTCGCTATGACAACACATGCAGCGGCCGGAAGTGAAGCCTGAGTCCCCGCCTCCGAGCATGGAGGGGGCGGGGCGAGGGACGTTTCCTATTGGCTGGAAGAGACCGGTGCGGCGCAAACGATAGCCCTCCGCTCATTGGCCCGCAGTTGCTAGGCTGAGCGCAGAGGGGAGGGCATTGGCTACCGAGCCCGGAATCGGCGTTCGTGCTTCCAATGGCGCGGTGGGCGTGGCTCCCTCGGACACCTCCCACCCCTAAGAGTTTTCAGATGCTCTGGCCCAGAAGTGTGCTTAACTTGAGGACGATTTGGAAATAAAAAGCTGAGCAAAGCTCCGTGAGGTTTACTGATTGGTTCTGCAGTCCGCTTGCTTGGTGTATTTCCAAAAATGGGTCTTTAACCCTTAATCTTAGGTAACAATTGCTAAATTTATGACAAGGACAAAGTCAAAGTTAATCTTCATTTAAATAGGCCGCCTTAGCCAGTTTTTAAAAAGAGCAGTGAGGTCCTGCTCTGTTCCGACTTCAGGGCCAGAGGACTCCCAATCACACCAAAAATAATCTTATAATGGCCTACACCTTTAATACTCTTGATAGGCAAAGGCCGGCGGATCTCTTTGAGTTCCAGGACACCTAAGGCTAATCTGTCTCAAATAATAAATCTTGACATCAAATTCAGTCAAAAACCCTGACTACTGAACCTTAGAGCCTTCCCCCACTTTGAGGTCTAGATAAACCCAGTTCCGGTCTACTAATGAGAAATCTCTGCCCTTGACATAGCGGGAGACTAGATCAGTTTTCCTACATCCCTCAGAGATGGTGAGGAGAAGATAGAGCAGAGAATTCACCCTGCAGCTTCATGAGAGGGAGAGTGGAGAAATAGAGCCAGAGTTGAGTGTGGTTGGCCACCAGCAGCAGAGGACCAGGTCAAGCTGGGGGCAGGAGCTCATTGCTGGAAGACCAGGAGGAACCACAGCCAGAGGACACTGAGTATCAGTCCCCAAACCACAAAGACGTTGGTGGAGAGAGGGTCCAGCTGTCAAGTTAGCAATTGGTATGTTAATCAGTTCACCCTTTCTTCTGTCCGAGAATTCAGTTGTAGACCAGGAGGTCCTATCTGTGGAGCTTTTTCTTGTTGCTGTTTATGGTCATGTAGCTGTGGAGGTTAGAGAGAGGTTTTTATTCCAACCAGCCCTACATTGGTAATAAGGTTGCCACTCTAGTTCCAGTATTCACTGAGAAGCCATTCATCTTCAGATACTGCTCAAGCTGAGACCCAAGTACTGCGGGTAATGAAGGCCATGCCCTAACTTGTTCATGGCAACAGCAGCATGACCAGGGTTCCTGGGAGCCACCTACTCTGGTGTTATGAATGAGAATGTCCTCCATAATTTCAAATGTTTGAATATTTGGTCCTCAATTTATGGCACAGTTTAGGAGGGTTGGGAGGTGTGGCTTTTGTTGCAGGAACAATGTCATCAGAGGTGGGCTTTGAGACTTTGAAGGGCCATTTCAAGTCAGCTCTCTGTTTCCTGCTTGCAGTTCAAGATGTAAGCACTCAGTTTCTGCTTCAGGTGTCGCATCTGTTGCTTGCCGTCATGCTTCCCTGGCATGGCAAATTCTTACCCTTCTCGAACTAGCTGTAACACAAACAAACCCTTCTATATGTGGCATTGATCCTACTGTTTTGTCACAGCAATAGAAAAATAGCTGGTATACCCGCATACAGATTGTGGTCAGTTTCTGGTAGGAGGACCATATCATGTAAGGACTAGCAATCCCACTCTGCATCATACAAGGCACCCCAATATTCTGTAGCTTTGCCCGTTAAATGTTCTGTTTCTAGCAAGGTGAATGCCCCCATGGATGCTCAGGGTGACTGCTGGCAGTGGAGCAGAGCTTGAGGTGCGGGAGATCCTCTGCCACTGTAGTCACCAGGCAGGTGACTGAGCTGAGGTACTACAGATGGCAAAAGGGTGATAATAATGTTGGCCCCTTATCTCAAACAAGTAGTTTATTGACCTTTTGGAAGTCCCTCCATGATAGGTGCATCATGATGGCCACCTGTATGCTCACAAGAAGGGCCAACATGCCATGACTTTGCAGCAGCTTCCACAACATCCTGAGTTAAAGTCGAAGGCTGGAGAGAGGAAGTTCTGAGTTCAAGCTATCCTCCTTTCCAGATCAAGGATGTGTTTAAGGGTTTCCAGAGAGCAGAGATAAACACACAAGCAGTGGGGGAAATACCCATAGTGGCACGTGAGAAAAGCTACAGACAGAAACAGTCATTACAGTCAGTGACCCCACAGTCTTTTCCAAGTGGGGCTCCCCATTAGAGAGTTATCCACCTGGTAGGTTGGCCCATTGAATACTGGTTGTCATCTGCTGTATACTCCCCTGGCCTCTAGCAGGACAAGTCAGTATGAAGTAAAATTAGTTTATTAAAAATTCTCTCAATATAGTCACTAAATGTGGGTTTCATATAAGTAGGCAAGAACTCTACCACTAAGTTATATCCCCAATCCTTTTCTCAATTCTATTTGAGATATGATCTCAATAGCTTACTCAGGCTTGCTTTGAACTAGCTCTATCAATCCAAACTTGATTTTTTGTGGTTCTGCTGCCTCAGACTCCCATGCAACTGAGATTTCAGACCAGTCTGTGTCACCAACTCAGCTTTGGTGCCTACTGAAGTGGCATTGTTCAAAGGATCTCTAAGAATTTTTTTCTCCTGGGAAGTGTAAATGGACTCTTACCCACTTGCTCCTAAATGCCCGATAGCAGCTTCCCAAATACTTGACTTGGAGGCTTAATGTTACTTATAAATGTTCAGCCAATGGCTTAGGCTTATTACTAACTAGCTCTGATGTTTTAAGTTAACCCATATTCCTTATTTACACTCTGCTATGTATGCTATGTATGAATGGGCTTAGTATGACACATTCATCTCCTGCTCTCTGTGTCTGCTAACAACTCCTGACTCCACCCTTCTCTTTCCCATCATTCTTAGTTTGGCTTTCCCACCTAACTTTATCGTGTTCAGCTATAAGTCAGTCACCTTGTTTATTAAAGCAATCACAATGACATATATTCAACCAGTGTAAAAGAATATTCCACAGCATTTCCCCCTTTTGGTCTAATTAAAAAGGAAAGTTTTAACTTTAATGTAAGCAAGTATGTATGTTACCACTCTGGAGCTGCAAAGATATCCTGACTTATCAGGAAGACAGACTATATTTAGAGCTGCAATAGGACAGCTCTGTAGGGGTAGAGATGCAGCTGGAGGCTGGAGCCACAATAGCACCTGGAGGGAAAGCTGTCCTGACTTGTGAGGAAGCCAGGCTACCTGAAGTTGAGGTGCAGTGGGGGATGGACTCCCCATAGGGATATAGCAATTCTGCTCTTCTAGAGAGCTGCTACAGCTGACCTCTGAGCTGTTCACTTAAGGGAATGTCCTACAGACCTATCAGCTTCTTCTTGTGCCCAAGATGTTATTTCTGCTACACTCTGCTAAAAGGGAAGCCCCTGCAGGAATGTAGCAATCTCTTGCTGCTCAGGTGCAAATTTACTTTTTCTGCTTCCCTAAGGGAACATCCCAGAAAGGTTCTTCTTTTCTTCTGTTTTGCCTTGTTCAGCCCCACCCCCCACCAAAGGGAGCCTTGCTTAGCCCTTCTAAGGGAACCCAGCAAGGTTTTTCTGTTCTTCTGTTCTGCTCAGCCTCACTCAGTCCCCCTAAGGGAGCATCTCAGCAAGGTTTTTCAGCTCAGGCCCCTAATGAATGTCTCAGCAGGGATCTTCTATTCTGTATTTATTAATTATACATCACATTTTTAAGTGAGCTGCATAAACACAATACCTTAATCAAAAGCAGAAATAAACATATAACAAAACTGATCTTAAATTTGTATCAATAAACCAAGAACCATACTAATGCAAAGTACTCATCTCTATAGCATATCCCTTTTAAATGTCTATAAACTTTTATAAACAATCATTTAGGGAATTTGGGCATTGTTCTCTAGACTACTTCCTGCTCTTTGTGGATGCTGTTAATCAGGTCTTTCATGGGGGTATTCTGTGTGGTAGGTCCATCTCAGCCAGCAGTCTTGAAACTGTCATGGATGTTGGGCCAACTGGACCATTGCTTCAGGGGGTCTTGTTTGATGAAACCATATTAACCAGTAAGAAATCCACAGCTTTCTATCCTCTGTGGAAACAAAAGCAGAACCTCTTTTCCAAAGCAACATATTCTTAGTCCCAAAATTTGAACTCAAGATAACTTTAAAATATATGTATTGGTTTAACTTAGCAACCTGTATAATGAAATTTCTCCCTGTAATTAACTCATTCACAGTCAAAAAATTTAAAGAGAATACAATAATATACATAACCCAGACTCTGTGTGTATTTTCCATCTTTATGTGGCCTTTTTTTATTCTATTACTTTTTAGTATTTTAGTATTTATTTTATTATCTTTACTTCTATAATCTATGACTGTCCATATTCTGTCCCTTTAAAGACTTTGTTGTATTTTTAAAACCTATTTCTTTACTTTCTATACTTGTTTTCTCACTCTCAAACCTATGTACATTTTTCAACACACTGTGACCCATTCATAGGTTTATTTCTGTCTGAATCTATCTTTATTGAGTATCTGTAATAATCTTCTGACTAGCCGTGCTTTTAAAATGGTAAGCAGCTTGGTTGCAGCTGCCCTGGATGCTGGCTCCACCTCTCTCAGCCTTTCAGTATGGTGGAGGTATGTTTACCACCAGCTCTGGAACCTCTGGGTAGGAGCCACACCCATCACCTCAACTCTGGTAAGCAGTTGGCCTATGCTGCCCTCAAGTAACTTACAGTACACTGCCCACTAACCCCATTTAAGTGCTTAGACTTCTGAAAGAGCCAGAGCTGTTCATGCAACTAGCATGAACCAGGAAGCTTTCTTAAAGGAGTCACACAGTTTTTACCGCCAAGTCAGGAAGCTTTATCTTAAAGGAATCATGCTTCTAGAAAACAGAGCCCATTTGAGAAAACA